ATAAATAAATATTAAAAAGTTTTTTTCTTTCATTCGAACTTCAAGTAATTCATGTTCAGTTTTACATTCCATAACTCCAACACCAGCAATATTTGCACATGTACCCAATGTAAATACAGTTTTAATAAATTCTTCTTTATCACCTTGACGAATAACCATACTAGCTATTTGAATAACTGGATCATGCTCAGGCTCAGGAAAAATACCTACAAAAATAAATTTCAAACTCATTTTTTATAATCAGTTTTTTTATTTTAAACCTTTTCGTCCAGCACATTCAATATCATAACTCATTATACGTAATGGAGCAATACGTTGCCAATCACCTTCAGCTGGATATGAAATAATATCATGTGCCCACACATCTAATTCAATTTGACATCTATACATCAAAAAAAAAGAAATTAACAAAATTAATACATTTAATGCTTTTATTTTATTTTTTTTTAAACCTTGATTGTAGTTTTAATTGTTGACTTATACCACGTGTTACCATATGTCGTATAAAATATTTTCCAGCTGGAATTTCAATCCAATTACAACCAACAATATTTAAATCAGCCATAAGACTTAAATAAAAAAGGAAACATAATTTAAATATGAATTTTTTTTGTGGTTCTAGTTGAAGATAATTAATACCGAATTTCAAAATCAATATTAGTTTCATAAGTTTTATAACCATCAAGTTGTGATTTATTTCCAGTCCATGAAAAGCCATTTTCAAGAATACGTCTTGATGTTGCAATAAATCTTGGTAATAATACACTTATTTTAAGTACTTGTGGTCGTTTTGAATCGGGTTGAAAACCAAATATACTTCTTTTTTGTTCTATTTCAACATTAAGTACTAGATCAGATGCAATAGCATCTTTACCACGCATTTCACTACGTAATGCTGCATGAAAATTTTGCTAATTTATATTTAGAAAAAAAAAATTTTTTATTAAAATTTTTATTTTCAAAAGCAAAAAAAAAAGAATTTTTACTTTAAATCGTTCACAATCAGCTGCTGTAAATGTATCTGATGGTACTGATGCATAAAAATATGGAATATAACCATGTAAATGTGCCATAACTGAATAACCTTCATCAGTAACACCATAAAGACGTATAATTGTATTATGACCACGAACATGAGGTCGACTTTTATCGAGAATATGTGGCGTACCATCAGAATCTGTGTAAGTATCTAAATCAATTTGTTGAAATATGAGTTTATCTGTCGAACAATTTATCGATGGAATATCTGGTCGTGACCATTTCACATTAGTTGCTTCATAAGCTGGACCTTGTCCTGTCGTATGAAAATGAAAAAATTATGTATAAAAAATAAACTGAACAATTTTTCTTACCGAGTTCAACAGCATTTTCTTTGTTTTCTTGATCAGCATCATCATAAGCAGGATCATCATTCATAAAGTCCTCATCATCATCATCATTTCCCCTAGAAAATTCAATGATAATTACAAAATTCTTGTCAGCCAATATCTCAGAA